TAGTGGTAAGGCAAATAGGGTTTTAGGTTGTATCTACAGAAATATGGAATACAAGTCTAAATAGGTTATAATTTCATTGTATAGGTCACTGGTTAGGCCACATTTGGAGAAATGTGTTCAGTCTTAGGTTCCTTACCTTAGGAAGGGCAATGAATTGTTGGAAAGGGTTCAGAGGAAGGCTACTAGGATGGTGCCTGGGATGGATAGGTTGTCATATTAGGAGAGTTTAGGATCTCTGTAACTGTTTTCTCTTGAAAATGAAGAGTAAGAGAGGATCTTAATTGAGTTGTTTAAGATTGTAAAGTGAATTAATAGTGCATCATCTTTTTTTCATATTTAATAATAACAGTGAGAATAGTAGGACTAGGGGACACAAATATACATTTTATTTTTAGCAAGGTAGGAGTCATCTTCAGCTAAAACGATTTCATTTTTTAACAGGGTGGTTGGCCTTTGGAATGGGTTGTCTTCAGATATTGTAGGGGCAGTAAATTTAAGTGAGTTTAATAAAAAGCTTGATAAGTATACGAATGATAAGAGCTGGATTCGAGTTTGTTTGTTTTTTAATTTAGTTTTGAGGATGGAACAGCCAAGATGCACCAATAGGTCCAATGTTGTCCCAAAACATTATGTTATTCAGATTAGTCTTACTTTTAAGTTCTATTGTAATTGCAGTCATAATATACAGCACATAATAACAACACCTAATCTAATCCAGTTACTGAATTATCTTAAATTCTATTAATAGTACTGTTGAGTAGTGTAAAGCATCAACAATATTAGCTAGTGCTTAAAATATTTATAATCAGGTATTTTGGTAAATTAAATATATAAAACAAAAAAGGATACTTGCTGTATGCTCCTCTAGAGGTTTGATGTTGGATATTTATGTTTGGAGAATTATGGTATTTCCCTTTCTGTAAGCTCATTGCAAAATCCAAAATAAAAAACGAGTTTTTCTACACATTAAGATTGTAAACCGTGACATGCGTAATATTATCATTTAGAAGTACATAAAATTAACACTTCTTCTCAAACTGTAGCTGACAGACAAAAATTTCACTTTTGTAGAAATTCCGTTTAATGTTTATAAATACTTAATCTTAAAACCAACACTGTTTTAACTTACGATCAAAATGGCCACCATCTTATGATGTATATTGTATTTGTAGACTAAGTACGCTTAACGAACGATGTGGAAAACACAGCTGATTCTCTTACTTTCTAACTTGGTGTAAATTTTGATCAAGTTACCAAAATGTAAATTTTCCATTTATTATTTCCACACACTTGAATTAAAAGTGTGTATAAAAATGATGTGCATTTACTGTATGCGAGGTCAATCAGAGCTATTGAATGTAAAATTGTAAATATATATATTAAACATATTTTTGTGCAGTGGGGAAAATATTTATTTTACCAGTATTATTTTATCTTTCTTGTTGTTGTTGTTTCTCTCCTTTTTTGTTCTTTAACTTCCGAGTTATTTTTTTTTTTTTTGTATAAACGTCAGAAAAAAAAATTATCAAGGAAAAGATATTTTTAAAACAAATTGCAAAGTATTATACTTCCCAAAGGAATTTAGAAATACTGGCTGGAGTACCTGTCTTTTGGATGGAAGTTATGTAAATACATGATTAATAAAAGGTTATCTAAGGACATGAGAAGATTTATCTCTTATATGTAATTGTAAAAAACGCAAAAACGTCCATAGAAACTACAAAACACAAAATGTAAACCGCAAATTTGCATATATCTCCGCATGGATCCAACAAACCTTCATGCCAAATTTGGTGAAGATCCATCGACAGGGAGCGAAGTAGTTGTAAATGCCCATAAGATCCACAAAATGCAAAACTGAAAATTTATTTGTACCTCCCCATGGACCCAATGAACCTCCATACCAATTTTGGTGAAAATCCATCCACACCTTGCGAAGTAGTTACATGAACGTAACAACAGACAGTAAACAGTACAATTATAGAAATATGTAACAACTTTACATAGCAAAGAAATAAATAACTTAAACACTTTAAGATGATAAAAGAAGGGTATTTAGAAAAATATATAAAAAGCGGAATCGTTCGTTAATACCCAAAAGGACTTAAACAACCCAATTTAAAAATTATTTCTTTTTGATTGTGATTCTTTTATGAGTGTTGGAGTACTCATAAAAACCGCAAAATGCAAAACTGAAAATGTGTATGTATCTCCCCATGGACACAATGAACTTCCGTACCAGTTTTGGTGAAGATCCATCCACACCCTGCGAAGTAATTACATGGACAGACAACAACCAGTATTATTATATTTATATAGATATGTATATTTAGTTTGTAAGAGAAATGAGTAAGTAAATGACGATGAAAAAATATTTTTTTATATAAAAACGAAGTGCATATTACGATTTAAGACGACATTTGTGTAAATGTTAAATAACACAGATGGTAAAAGATAAACTAACGTTTAATGATACACACACACACACATATATATAAATGAGACTGTTTCCATTTCAGAAATACAATAAACGTTTCACTGAATAATTTGCTATGTAAAGATAAAAAACGTGAGACTGGGAAAAGTAAGACGTCGAAACATATAAATCTCTGTACAGTAAATTATTCAATAAAACTTTTAATAGTGTTTCTAGAATGTAGATAGTCTCATTTATAAGTATTTATTCGTATCATGAAATGTGTTTTTTTTTCTTTTAACATCTGTGTTATCTAAAAGAAGTGCATATTGATACCTACCGATTATTCAAAAGCTACATAAAAAGCAAAAGAAATATCTAAAGACACAGAAAGAAAAACATGAAGATAAACAAGTTTCTTTTGAATCCAAGTCAAATAAAAATATAAATTATGTATCTATTATGGTAACATAACATAAAACTGAAGGACAACAAGGGACCTCTTGGTCCATTATCGCCTTCTTATCCACTAAATTTAACTTTTTAAACAATAAAAAGAAAGAAATTCAAAGCCCTTATAATTCAAAAAATACTGTTATGTCTCTGTTCGTTTGTTAATTTTCCGTAAAAAGTATTTCTGAAGAAACTTTAACGATACACTTAATTTCCACAGTCACGCTATAACTTAAACAAACGCTATAATTCACAAAGAACGATTCACGCGCTTGACTCAATTGTCCATCTCTATCTCTGTCTGCAATTCAATTCCATTGTTGCCGTCACTTCTTGGCGGTCTTATATACAAGAATACCGCACATCTAGTAAACACTCGAGCATTCGCGAACCTTCGAGAATATCAAGACGTGTTACTAGCGTCACGTGACTTCCGCTGTCCCAACAATACTTATCAAGCCTACCCTTTTAAATTTACTGCATTCAGCAAATCTGAAGACAACCCATTCTAAAAGGTCAAACACTCTGTTAAAAAATAAAACTTTCTTAACTTAAGATGACTTTTACCCTGCCAAAACGTATTGTTACGACAGCGGAAGTCACGTGACGTTGGTAACACGTCATGAGTTTCTAGAAGGATCATGACTTTTCCTGGCAACTCTAGTCTTTTCTGGGCGTCCTCTATTTTAGTATATAAGCTTGGCAAATAATTGCAGATAGATAGATATAGAGATAGATAATTGAGTCAAGCGAGCAGTAGGCACCTTAAGTAAAGTGCGTGAATCGTTGTGAATTGTAGCGTGTGTTTATAAAAGTAGTTAACTTTAAAGTGACTGTGGAAAATCTTTGTATTGCAAAGTTGTATCGAGAAAGAATAAATTAGTTTTAATTAAGAAAGGACTTGTACCGCTGAAGTTTCTCGGAGAGAATTTTTTATGGTAAATTATCAAACAAGCGGATACGTAACAGTATATTTGTGTTTTCTACTCCAGCGTTTTTCAATATCCGTGACAGTCACCTTGCTGATTAGTGGAATTTAACAAAAACAAACAAACAAAATATACATACGCAAATCGCAACAGTTTTTAGTGATTTGTGACAGTTTAGGGAGGCAACGACCCGGTAACTCGTATCGAAAAGGTTAAGAAAACACCCTAGTCTTACAATTTTCACCATTAAGTACGGAAAAAGGTGATGCGTTGACATTATCAATTCATTTTGTGATATGCACGAATAACATATATTTTCTACCTGCTTTAGTGATGAAGAATTTTTGTCCAAATTTTTGTGTATTTAGTTTGTATATGATTTTAGTCTAAACATGTGGCCCAGAAGTTATTGAGATTGCTTTGTTTGTTTTTTATTGTTAATCGCAAGTTCACACAATGGGTTATCTGTGCTGTGCCCACAACTGGTATTGAAACCCGGTTTTTAGCATTATAAGCCTTACCGCTGAGCTACTGGTGTGTGTGTGTGTTGAGAATGCTTTGTTCTAGTTGCTTTGTCTATTTATTCTCTGTGGTAGATAATGTCTACTCTGCATGTGAGAACATTACAGTAATATAGAGCATTTAGGTTAAAAGGATTAACTCTGAAATATCCTTTACTGGTCGATTTAACGTTGTCTAAATGTAACAACTGACCAATGCTGTGAGAGAATAAAGATCACAAGGTGACGCTGTTGACTGGACAAAGAAATTGAGCTTACCTGTTGAATTCATTCGCGATTGTTTAGATCAGTTCTATCCGGAGTGCTTTTAATAAAAACTTACTTTAAGACAATTGGGTTTAGTTGACAGAAGCCTATCCTGAGAGAAAGAAAACTGTGGAGCTAAGTACAACCCACTAGAAGTGGTTGTGATTTTGTTTGCGCAAGTACTTGATCTGTGTTTTATTTTTATTTGTTTCATAATAAAAATTTTACTCATTTTTACTAAATATGTCCAATGTCGTTATTCCACACACACACTAAGAAACTTAGTTAAGTTATCAGATTCATAATTACTCTCCTTATTTTATGAGCGAATCTGCTGTTATTGGCGGGTTAGACTATCTGGCATTTGTCTGGAAATCAATTATACGTAATCGATCTTAAACATCTCAACAAATCCCCTGTGATCTTCCTTTTTTAAAAGAGAAAACTATTTCAGAGATTTTAACCTATCTTTTTATGACAGCCTTTTCATCCCAGGTATCAATCTAGTAGCCCTCCTATGAACCAATTTCAGCAATTCAATGTCCTTTCTAAGGTAAGGAGCCCTAGACTGAACACAATACTCCAAAGGTAGCATGATCTTTGACCTCTATTATGAAGTTATAGCCTATTTAAACTTGTATTCAATATTTCTGAACATATACTCCAAAATCCTATTTATTGTACTACTAGCAATAGTACAATGTTTGGATGGCTTAAGAGACTAATCAACCACACCATGATCATTTCTTTCATAACACTGTTAAGGTTATTTCCATCAAAAGTATATTCATAATTCAAGTTGTGATTAAAAAATTATCTGCCATATATTTGTCCAACTCATTAAATAACTAAATTTCTTTTTTTAAACAAAAGCAAACACCTTATAGCCAGCAATACCCAATATCTTACTATTATCAGAAAATTTGAGCATTTTATTGATCATTTCTTAATTTATGTCATTGATGTAAATAAAAGAGAGGAAAGGTCCTAAAACTGAGCCCTGAGGCACACAACTTGTGATATTAATCCGGTTTGCCTGAACACTGTTTATAATAACCAACTCTTTCTTCCATCCAACTCTTTTTTTTCTATCCAATGAGCCAACGTATCCATACACCAATAAAGATCATTTTCACATACCCTTTATGTGGCACCTTACCAAGTGCTTTCTCAAAATTTAAATACCCCAATTCTACATCAGTACTCTTGATATATAAGCAGTAATCTCTTCAAAAATTGTTAAAATATTAGTAAGGCAACATTTTCCCCTAGTGAAATCACGTTGACTATCCAACTAAATTTTAAACATTTGTTTATTAAATGACGTTGCAAAGCATATTTTATAAGATTAAAAACATTTCCTACCACTAATGTAAGACTAATAGGCCTATAATTACCAAGACAATAAAAAGAGTTGCATTAACTATCTTCCTATCTTCTGACACCTGCCCACCACTGAAAGGCTTACAGGCAAACTATATGATTTTGAAACACTTGTTGAGTGGATCAAGAATCGAGCAGAAAGCTCTTAACTCTTGGGGCAAACAATTTCTCCATACATCCTGAAGACAATGATATATTGGGCACAGTGGAATTCATTATGCCTCCAAAAATGCTTGTTTTATCAGAAATGGGAAGATGCCAGAAGACAGAAACAATAACTAGTACTTCCACAGTCTCTACATTCCAAAATACTCTGTCATCTCCACAACTTTCCAATAGCTGCTAGTTTTAAGAAAGACAAGGAATAGAGTAAGAGAATTCCTCTATTAGACTGGGTGCCA